TTAAAAAATATTTTTATATAAAAGAAGGAAGGAAAGGAAGAAAAATAATGAAAGAAAAAAGGAGGAAGAAAAGGAAAGAATGAATGACATAATGAAAGAAATGAAGAAGGAAGAAAAGGAAGTATGATTGACATAAGAAAAGAAAGAAGAAAAGGAAGGAAGAAGAAAATAATAAAAGAAATCTATTTGCAAAGAAGAAAAGGAAGAAAGAAGGAAATAATGAAAGAAATGAAGAAAAGAAAGAATGAAGGACATAAAGAAAGAAAAACGAAAAGAAAGGAAGAAGAAATGGTAACAAGAAGGAAACAATGAAGAAGAAAAGGTAGGAAGATGAAAATAATGAAATAAAGAAGAAAAGAAAGAAGAAGAAAAGAATGAAAAAATAAATAAAGAAGAAAAGGAAGAGAGAAGGAAATAATGAAAGAAAGAAAGAAAAAAGGAAGAAGAAATAATGAAAGAAAGAAAAGGTAGGAAGATGGAATCAACGAAAGAAATAAAGGAAGAAAGAAATAATGAAAGAAAGAAGAAAAGAAAAGACGAAGAAAATAATGCAAGAAAAAAGAAAAGGATAGAAGAAGAAAATAATGAAAAAAATAAAGGAAGGAAGAAATAATGAAAGAGGGAAGAAAAGGAAGAAAGAAGAAAATAATGAAAGAAAGAAGGAAGAAGGAAATGATGAATGAAATAAAGAAGGAAGAAAATTAAGGAAGAATGGCATAATGAATGAGATGAAGAAGGAAAAAGGGAAGAAAGAATGACATAATGAAAGAAGGATGGAAAGGAAGGACGAAAGAAATAATGAAAGAAAGAAGAAAAGGAAGAAAGAAAGAAAAAAATGAAAAAAAAGACGAAAAGGAAGAAGAAGGAAATAATGAAAATATGAAGAATGGTAGAAAAGGAAAGAAGAAGGACATAATGAAAGAAGGAAGGAAAGGATGGCATAAGGGCATAATGAAAGAAGGCACAAAAGGAAGGAAGAAAGAAATAATGAAAGAAAGATGAAAAGGAAGAAAGAATGCAATAATGAAAGAAAAGGAAGGCAGAAGAAAATAATGAAAGCAACGAGAAAAAGAAAAGAAAAGGAAGGAAGAAGTAAATAATAAAAGAAAAGATGAAAAGGAAGGAAGAAGGAAATAATGAAAGAAATAATAAATGGCAGATAAGGCAGAATGACGAAACCAGCATTCGCATCAAGTTGAGCTATACAGATAGAGGACAGAAGGAAAGAATGAGTGAATAAAATGTGAGAGAAAGAAAGACAGAAAGAAAGAATAAAAGGGAGGAAATAATGAAAGAGAAAGAGAATAAATAAAGTAAGACAAATTGAATGAATGGAAAGAAAAAGGAAGACAGAAGGCAGAAAAAGAAAGAAGAAAAGAAAGAATAGGAAAAAAGAAGGCGTGTTAACAAAAAAAAAATGCCAGAGAGAGAGAGAGAGAGAGAGAGAGAGAGAGAGAGAAAATAGAAAGAAGAGGAAATAAGACCGGGAAAGAGTTAAACTGATATATCGTCAGAAAGAGAAATAGAAGGACATGGAATAGAAAATGAATTTGGTTGCTTCATTAATGGGAATATAACAACGATGGCGTCAGTCCATCAATGAAGAAAAAAAAATATAATTCAGGGAGATATACTAAAAGTTTGTTCTCTTGAAGTTTACTTATTTTAGATGAGCTTTTGTTTTCTTTTTATCGTTTCACCCCAAGCAAGGCGATAATACCCCTAGGACACAGGGTAAAAGAGAATGAGAAGATTTCAGTGGGGAGAATTCAGGAAACGAACAATGAAGAAATGGGTAGATGATAGCGATTAACGTTGCAGTTGAAATTTTGAAAATTATAAACTGGCAAGCAAGAAATCGGTTTAGTTTGGTTTGAATTGTTTACGGTCTATCAACCTCAATGGGTTATTTAATGCCAAGATTTTTATTGCTGGTAATATTTTTTTTTCAAAACTCGTTCTGGTTATTTTTTTTTCAAAAATGTATTGTTGATAATATTTTTTTTTTTTTTTAATTTATTACTGTTAATTTTCATTTCAAAAATGTACTGCTGGTAAAAATGTTTCCCCAAAATTATTGCTGGTATTAAAACCTATTTTTATACATTCATAATACTTTGGCCCCTTTTGTGGGTTAACTATTGCCCATAGCTGAGACCTTAACAGGTGCCACTACCCCAGGTCAAGGTGAAATTAAGAACACCAGCAATTTAGAGATGACTCAATGTTCCTCAAAGTTCATGTTCTGATCAAAGGCCTTGCTGCCGGATATAGTTTATCGTCTTACCTAGGACGCGGATGTAATTTATCGTCATACCCAGGACGTGCAAGAAATCGGAAGGCTGTTCCACAGGCGAGAAATACCAAAAAATAAAGAAACTATTTGAATACGACGGTTGGGTAGAAGGCCACGAATGCCGAGATTGATAGATAGATAGATAGATAGATAGATAGATAGATAGATCTGAAGAGGCATATATTTATTTGAACAGGTTTAGATGGATAGATCTTAAGAGGCAAATATCTATGTCAACGGGATTAAATTGACATATAGACAAATTGATCTGAAGAAGCATATATTTATGTCAACAAGATCCGATACTGAGAATCGAACTCCCAACACAGCATCGGAATGGTCAACCAGACAAGCTCGTTACGCATAACCAAATCCAGAGACGCTCGTTATTATTTGTTAACCGTAGCTTAGGTTTTGAATAACATTCCAACCTGTTTTGAAGTCCGGTTATCAAGCGAAATCAGAGAAATCACTATGACTTCCACCTAACTTGTAGCTAGCCTTAGTTGATATAAGGAGAAACTGACAGATGCACGTCTTTCCAACAGCAATTGGTACGAAATCGAATGCAACTGTCTCGGTTGCAGTTTCAAATAAAACACGCCGTTTCCACTTTCCAGGCCAATAACGGCTACAAGTTCATGCCTAGAAATGCTGATTGGGGTCTGTTTCTTGCACCAGTCCATTAAATACCTGACTCCTCCTTCTATCCTTTAACATTACAAGAGCCAGATCAGACCGAAAAGAGAGTAATGTTGCCATATATAGACAAGAACTAACAAGCCTTCACTTTCCAGCCTCGATAGAGCCTAAAAGCGTCTCCGCAAACTTGTGTGATAACGAATTATTTTCCTTCCTACAACCCCTTTCCTCTCAGACGAAAAATCATTATTTTCTTCTTTCTTCCTTTTCGTTTTTCTTTCTTTATGTCCGTCATTCTTTCTTTTCTTCCTTCTTTCATTATTTCATTCTTTCTTACTTTTCTTCTTTCTATATTTCTTTTATTGTTTTCTTCTTCCTTCCTTTTCATCTTTCTTTCATTATTTCTTTCTTCCTTTCTTTTTCTTCTTTCTTTTCTTATGTCAATCTTCCTTCCTTTTTCTTCCTTCTTCATTTCTTTTATTATGTCATTAACCCTTTCCTTTTCTTCCTTCTTTTTCTTTCATTATTTTTTTCTTCCTTCCTTCCTTTCCTTCTTTCTTTCTTATATAAAGAAGTTTTAAGATGTGGCCTATTTATGGGATAAAGTGCTCAATAACAGAGATAGATCGTATCAAAAAATAAATATAAAAGTGGATATTGAATTATTTTCCATCCTACAACCCCTTTCCTCTCAGACGAATAATCACTCGTTGTTCTATCGTAATTTCCATGGAAAGTGTTCAGATGAACGAGACGTCTTTGTTTTACACATTCTAAACTTCACAGCTGGGACAACGCCATGACACGTATTCCAGTTGTTAGATGTGATTACCATCCGGTAGCTTCTTCCTACCAACCTCTATTTTGTGAAGCCGACTATTAAGATGATGTCACATTGATCACTATAATTTTACGGCCGTACAAGTCTAGTGTTAACGGTTATTTTCCCCACATATTCTCATAAAGTGTCCTCATACGCTGTAACACTCTACCTCGAATGGCTCTTGGATCGTCTACACGGTAAACATCATTACAAAAAAAAAATGAAGTTCTGTTAGTTATTTGTAGCATCCAGCCATACACCAACATGACTCATGTAGAGAGGCGAAACGGCTTATACGTTCAATGGAAATGTTCTCTGTTGGTCAACGATTAAAAATTTAATGCTCGCTGTACAATACAGCGTTGATTTAGGTTTATAAAGCGAAAAAAAAGGGTTATTTGGGATTTCTTCCTTATGGACCTTTATAGTCAGAAATGCTTGCTTTTCAGTTTGAAAAAAAGGCCAGCACGCTCAAGCCCTCGGCCACGATGACTTGTGAATTCGTGCTAGCACAACTATCGACGGCACCCCAGTGACCCGTTCGTAAGGTGGAAACTTAAAAAAAAAAGGTAAAACCATACAGCAGTCATACCCGCATTTGCTACCTTTGTCAGCATGAGAAATTAACGACTATGACATTTCCAGATCCCAAAAACCTTTTAAACCAGAGATCCGAAATCTTAAGTCCTTGTACTCATATCAAATTGTTTTTTATTAAATGAATATGAGGCCGGATAAAAATTTACACTATTTACATCATTCAGGCGATTGTCTTCATCTTTGTAGCCATATTTATTACAACGTTTCGACCGTTGTACGCTCCGGCCTTCTTCAGGTGGTTGGAATGTCGAACTGAACCCTTTATTTCGCTCACTGGGGTAGACTGTTCTAGTTCCACGTTTAATGGATGTCATTTATCAGTTATCTCCTGTTAATTCTCCTCTCCAAGTTCTCCACAACCTTAACTGTGTATTGAACTCACACTCTTTGGGTCCTGTCACTGGATCTAACTACTTTATCCACTTTGACATGTGTCCTTGAGGACATCTGTGCATGAATTTGTGGGTATTATAAAGCTAATGTTTTCAGCAAGCATTTTTTACCAGTTAGTTAGATCCAGTGGCAGGGCAGTCTACCCCAGTGAGCGAAATAAAGGGTTCAGTTCGACATTCCAACCACATGTAGAAAGCCGGAGCGTACAACGGCCGAAACGTTGTAATAAATATGGCGACAAAGATGAGGACAATACTCCGAATAATCTAAATAGTGTACATAATACCTCATCTCAGAAATATAGCCAGATACTGAAAGGCCGAAACGTTGTAATAAATATGGCGACAAAGATGAGGACAATACTCCGAATAATCTAAATAGTGTACATAATACCTCATCTCAGAAATATAGCCAGATACTGAAAGGCCGAAACGTTGTAATAAATATGGCGACAAAGGTGAGGACAATACTCCGAATAATCTAAATTGTGTACATAATACATCATCTCAGAAATATAGACAGATAATGAATGGCCGAAACGTTGTAATAAATATGGTGACAAAGATGAGGACAATACTCCGAATAATCTAAATTGTGTACATAATACATCATCTCAGAAATATAGACAGATAATGAAAGGCCGAAACGTTGTAATAAATATGGCGACAAAGATGAGGACAATACTCCGAATAATCTAAATTGTGTACATAATACATAATCTCAGAAATATAGACAGATAATGAATGGCCGAAACGTTGTAATAAATATGGTGACAAAGATGAGGACAATACTCCGAATAATCTAAATTGTGTACATAATACATAATCTCAGAAATATAGACAGATAATGAAAGGCCGAAACGTTGTAATAAATATGGTGTCAAAATATGAGGACATCTCAAAAATATAGAGGATAAATATTTAGACAGATAGCATTCAAAAATACCACTGTAAATTTTGAAAGGCCAGATAAAAAAAACGTTGTAATAATTATGGCGTTGAGGACCTGAATAATCCCCAGCATCTCAAAATATAGAGGATAAATATTTGTAATTTCCTGTAGTTTTTATATTTACAAGACGCCATTCACTTGCTTTTCTTTTGTTCTTCTTTTCTTTATACAATTACGATGCACTTGTTTTCCTCGTATTTTCATTACCTCCATATATATATATATATATATATATATATATATTCATCATTCATTTATAAAAAACCTTGAAGAATACAGGTTATTCCAGCAAGTAGTTACGTTTATGAAACCTATCTATCTATCTATCTATCTATCTATCTATCTATCTATCTATCTATCTATGATCAATTTCAGTCTGGTCACATCTATCTATCTATCTATCTATCTATCTATCTTCATATCATTCCCAGTGTTTTCATACCTGTCTCAGTCTTGCCACATCCCTTTATCTTTCTCTCTCTGTCTACCTCCTTCTATCTCTCTCTTTCTCTACTAATATATATCTATGTACAGAGAGAGAGAGAGAGAGAGAGAGAGAGAGAAGAAATAGAACGATGGCAACTACGACTATACTATATATATATATATATATATATATATATCAATTTCTTTTCTGTTAGTCTGTTCATATCTATCTATACCTCTGTCTGTTTTTTGTTTCTCTATTACTTTGTCTCTATCAAACCTTTTTTTTTCTATCTGACACCAAATAAACTTTATCTTCGTCGTCGACACCTTTTTTTTGTTGTCTTCTTTAGACGAGGGAAGTTACCTCGTCTGGTAACAAGAGCACGTCTCAGTAAACAAATGTGTGTCGTGTCTCCAAGTTTGATGCCGACTGTCATAATATAGACAAAACTATCTCACGAATCTTTATTAGTTTTTCGGGACTTTTGATATGATAAACCTCGACTAAAGAAAGAACACCGTACGCAATATTCACGGCGTTGATGATTGTCATCAGCTTAAAATCTCTGCCCAGTCTTCCATTACTAACTACAGTGTAACCCGGATATAAGAGAGTTATCGAGACCGGAGAAGAAGTCTCTTATATCCGGGTTTCTCTTATATCCGGGTTTGGTCTATTTTATATACATTAACACAGGCTCTAATTTGGGACCAGAGAAAATCTCTCTTATATCCGGGTTTCTCTTGTTTCTGGGTTTGGTCTATTTTATATACAACACAGGCTCTAATTTGGGACCAGAGAAAATCTCTCTTATATCCGGGTTTCTCTTATATCCGAGTTTGGTCTATTTTATATACATTAACACAGGCTCTAATATGGAACCAGAGAAAATCTCTCTTATATCCGGGTTACTCTTGTTTCCGTGTTTGGTCTATTTTATATACATTAACACAGGCTCTAATTTGGGACCAGAGAAAATCTCACTTATATCCAGGTTTCTCTTGTTTCCGGGTTTGGTCTATTTTATATGCAACACAGGCTCTAATTTGGGACCAGAGAAAATCTCTCTTATATCCGGGTTTCTCTTATATCCGGGTTTCTCTTATATCCGGGTTTCTCTTATATCCGAGTTTGGTCTATTTTATATACATTAACACAGGCTCTAATTTGGAACCAGAGAAAATCTCTCTTATATCCGGGTTTCTCTTGTTTCCGGGTTTGGTCTATTTTATATACATTAACACAGGCTCTAATTTGGGACCAGAGAAAATCTCACTTATATCCAGGTTTCTCTTGTTTCCGGGTTTGGTCTATTTTATATGCAACACAGGCTCTAATTTGGGACCAGAGAAAATCTCTCTTATATCCGGGTTTCTCTTATATCCGGGTTTCTCTTATATCCGGGTTTCTCTTATATCCGGGTTACACTGTACTATAGCATCTGTTAGGTTCCCAGCTATGGGCAAATACCGTAATTCCACATGTATAATAGGCATTTTTTCCCTGGAAAATAATAATAAAAATTATGGCTGCCTATTATGCACAGCTACAAAGTCTTTAACAAATGGCCGTTTCATTGGTCGATTTCCGTTGCGAAATGACGACTGGCCACAAACATACGACAATTTGACACTAACATTTGGCGATTGCGACCCCCATAAGGATAATTATTCTGATGTCACTTAATTTAAAGACAGTTTTATGTGCGTAAGTTCTTACTTTCCGGAAAAAAAATACTTTTTTTTAATGGGTGAATATAGCTGGACGTTGTAAGTAATTTCAATTATTCCCAAATTTATTTCCAAGTTATAAAAATTGTAATGTACAAAAAATTTCATCTCAAAAAATCACGTAAAAATTCGCCGAAAACAATGGCAGTAATGAAACCTTGAGAATCCAAAATTTCAGAAAGGAATAGAAAATAAAGACAGAGGATTGCCAATAAAGTTTAGAGCAATTTACAAAGCGTAGCTTACGTCTGACACAAGGCTAAAAGTATGCAGCATCCAGTGAGGATCGAACTCACAACTTAATCGTAGTGTAGTCGATTGAGATAAGGTTGCTAGCCATTACACCACGTTAAGGAACAGGAGTTGGTCGAATTTATGAAAAGAATGTTAAAAGTAGATGGATCGACTTATACAAGAGTTTATACGGAAAATCTTGCATTTCTGTTTATCGTCATTGTTATTGTTTTAAGAATGGAAATAGAAGAGAGAAAAAGAATAGAAAGAGAAAGAAAAAGAGTATGAATGAGTGGAGGCAGGAAAACGTGGCTGTGTTTAAAAGGGATTAACTATGGAAGATGATTCGACTTATACACGAGTTTATAGGGATTAACTTTTATTCCTTATTATCATTGTCACGTTTCCCTCAACAGAAATGCAGAATAAAAATTGAAGAAAGAAATGAATAAACTAGAGGACGAAGTAAAAATATGTTAAGCATAAGGGAAAGGAGTCGACTTATACACGAGTTTATGCGTTATAAAACAAAAAATGTCTTAAGGGTGGAAAATGATTCGACTTATACACGAGTTTACATAGGTTATTTTTTTATTTACACCATCCTTTTAACAGATACACAAATGAACGAAGCCAAATTGGGTTTATGCATAAGGGAATACAGAGGGAAGGGAGTCGACTTTTACATGAGTTTGTGCGTTGTGAAAGAAAAAATCGAAGAATGAAAATCAATGAAAATAATGAATGAGCGAAGGAAGGAAAAACCGGTTGAACTTAGAAAAGGAAATACTGTATTAAGGTTAATCGACTAATACATGAGATTATATGGATTGTCAGTTATTTCTGCCGTAGTCACTCTAAACTTTTATATAATATCTGTCCTTCTGTATAACATTGAGTGCAGGACAAAGAGGAAGAGACATGCAGCAACAGAAATTTGGTTCTACAGAAGGATGTTGAGGATACCACGGATCGAACTTTTGAGCAACGACGAAGTTTTAGTGATAATGGAAACAAAAAGGAAACTTATACTTAACATCAGGTACAGACAGCTGATGTCTTTGTGTGTTATGGTAAATACCCACGCAAGCATGGACTCTCTTAGCTATAAATAGGAGCAGGTACTGCCTTTTGGAGAGAGAAGTTTCCAGCAGTCAGCTCTGACGGTCGGACCGAACATCTTGCTGTAACACTCTCGTTTGTATATATTTGTATTACTGTTTCTGTTAATATATTTAACTCAATTCCTCTCTTTGTGTCTTTATTTCTAGCCCTAACAAGGCCACTAGGGAACATAATGAGGAAGGAAGGCCTAGAAAATATGATACGCACAGGGCAGAATGAAGGCAAAAGGGATAGAAAAAAAACAAAAGATAATATACTTAGTGAGCTTGAGTAAATGGATGACGGATCATGGTTTAGGAAGAAAAATAGAAAGACAATGTTTATTAAGAGCTACAAAGAAAGGAAATTGTGGAGAGCCGTGATCGCCTCATCCTGAGGAGACAGAGCGCATAAAGAAGAAGATAAAAAATAATAATTAAAACAGAAAGAAAGAAAAAAAAACTATGAATGTATGTCGGAAGGAAAAAAAGGTTGAGATTGGAATAGGTGAATAGACTTATACACGAGTCTACATGGCGTGAGTGCAATATGGCTTGCACTTATTTTGGTTGTTGTCTCGGGCGAACTTTTCGGCGAGCAATCGTTGCAATTTCCACGCTTGAAGTGCTTTTCTTGCTTCCAAGCTAATTTAGACGACTTACGGCAGACAATTACAGCGGACGCTGACAGGTAAACGAAACGAGATTAAAAAAAAACAATCCGGACATATTGGCAAATGCTCGGCTGGTGCGATTCCGATGACCTATAATTTGACTGAATTAAGAAAACAAACACATACAAACATACTAACACACACACAAACACACACAGAGGGAGGCACACAGGCACGGACACACTGTTGCCCACAGACACTCACAAACATTAAAAAATACACACGTCCACGAATACATGTATAAATGCGGTAACTGCCAACTAGTTAACCAAGTATGACTTTTCTCAACATATTAATATATGTATAACAACTATTGTACTGAAAATTGACACTCTTACACTATTGTCCCCCTCAGCTATGGGTTAAATACCAAAGAAGACAGTACTTTCTAACTGTGGTTACCAATCAATCTAGGAGAAAGACAACTTTTAATTCAAAACCATATGTGGCTCTTGAGCCAAATCATGGGTTGCTTTTTCGTAAGGCACTGCACCTGAAAGCCACCCCTGTCAGGTTTACGGTGAACACATCGACAGCCGGAGGTGGGGATTGATTAATGTCAGAATAGAACAGACCAGATTTGTGACAGTAGACTTCAATGGTGTCATGGAAACATCGTTCATACATGGACAAAGGACAAGACATAAATATTCCGAGTAAGGTAGAAACTGCGCCTTGTGTCTGCTAATATATGCGCAACTGAAACCCCTCTGATGAAACAGGGGGACCTCCGGACAGATTGCCTACTTAGTTAGTACATTAATTTTTACACGACTAGTCGTAAATACTAACGCCAGTTAGTACACTAATTTTGACATTAAATTATAAATATTCAACTCAAAAATACATTGATTTCAATAAAGTTGATTGACTGATTCGTTTTCTCCAGCTTATTAACCGTCTGCTGTTTATTAGGAATACAGGTTCGATTCCCGTCGGAGAATGCATATTTTCTACGAAAGTTTTCGAACACTTAGGCCACTAAATGTAATTAATACTCTTTAATTGAAAAAAGTATTTTCTTGAATAGATCTCTATCTATAAAAAGCAGGATGTGTGTGTGTAACGAATGCACGGCCGCAATTTTCGACGGATTTGCACCAAAATTTACTTGCACATGCTCCAAGTTAGTGGAAAAGCCAAGACTGACTTTGCATTTCCCAACTCCCATCGATAGTGGAAATAATCTATTTTTTCATGCTTATACGGCAGTTTTCGTGTAGTTTGCGGCCATTTTGTACTAAGGAGAGTGAGAGCCTATAGCTATTTGCCACGAATAGGCAGGAAGATTCTATTGGCCAGCGTGAGAGCCAACAACTGACTGACACGAATGTTAACTAAAATGCTAGCATAAAAAAAAATCGATAGCTGCATTCGTCACAAGTGGAAAAAATTTAAATCTGCATGGCACTTTACTCCAATTGGCTCAAAATCTTGCTTAAACTCAACGTTGATTCTGATTCCGCAGAACTGGGTTAGGTGTGGAAAAAGTATTTGTTGTTAACATTCTTTTTTCATTCGGTTTTTCCAGTTACGAGTCCTTTTTTTAAAGCTGATCGTTTTGTGTTCATTTTGTTTAGTTCTTTTTTCGTAACAGATTTAATGTTTAGTATAGAGCTTAGAAAAAATCGCAGTGTGTGAGATAGGCAAGAAGTAAGGCATGTAGCAACATCAGAACGGCAAAGGGCACCTTTAAAAGGCAAGGAAGGGCAAAAATATTTTAAGTCAAGTGATAGCGATTGCTGTATGAGTCGTACGATTTTTTGAATCAAGCAAGGGCAACGCCGGGCCATGCCGCTAGTTGTATATACAAGAATAATGTTAAAGGATATATATAATATATATATATATATATATATATATATATATATATATATATATATATATATATATATTTATTCTGAAAATTTCGTAGAAAAAATATACGTTCTCCGACATATTATACCATTTAGCTACAGAGAAGCAAAATTCAAATTGCTGTTTTTAAATGCATTATCTTCATCGATTTTTCGCGATCGATCATATCTGCTCGTGAAACGTATCTTAACGTAAACGATGACAACATATAATGAAATCGATTAAGTCGGACAATTATTATCGATCAAGAATAATCGTCGAAGATTGCGTGCTTAAAAACACTAATTTGGACTTTGCTAACCAGGTGCTTCCCTGTAGCTAAATGGTATAGCACGTCAGATAAAATGACGGTTTCCGTATCGGAATACAGGTTGGATTTTTGTCGTAAAACGTATATTTCCTACGATATTTCTCGAACATTCAGACCGGTAAATATAATTAATACTTTTTAATTAAAACACTAAGCATTTATTTAAATAAATTGTATCTATAAAAATAAGGTATAAACAGAAAATGTATTAAATAATTTTCGGACTTAATCCATTTCATCATGTATATTATGATAATTTATTTTAATACTTTTACAACGGACATTTTAAATGTATGCATGTATATATACAAAAAAAAAGTAAAATACAGGATGAGAAATAGTTATTACTGCCCGTGAAATGATGGATTGAAAAAAATATAACAATGAAATAAAAAAAAGAGGTCACCATTTATTGATTCTAGATCTTCAGAGTTAGTCGAGGAAAATAAATATGTGAACAATAGCTAAAAGAAAAAAAAAATAGTTGGAGAGAAGAAATTAATACCAAGGAATAAACAGTATACATTACAAATAGATTAAATTTACCCACCCCCCAAGTAATTCCTATCGCAATTGGTGAGACGATAGTGCCATTGCTGGACATATTCTTGGATCTCGTTTTCAGGAATAACCTTGAGTAATGTCAGGGATCCCAGCAGAACTTTCTCCTTTTAGGTATATTTCAATGTTAGATATAATCAAAAATCTTTGGGGTCGAAGTTTGGTGAACAAGATAGATCGTCCAATTTTTAATGGATTTCTTAACCAGAGCACACCAGCTCCTAATACCTCATTTCCATGGTGCAAAATCCAATTGCCAGAACAGAGTTTAGGCCTTTAGCTCTGAAAAACCATTATTGGAATCCCATTCAGCGTGTTTTTTGTAGTACTTTTCTTTCGTTATTGTGTGTATTATTTCACACTTTCTTGAACTTCCTGTGTCACTGATAAGCACTCATACCACGATTAACATAATCCAATTGCGTTTCATTAGCACTTTAACTAATCTTTACACAAAGCTGAATGCTAATCCACTGTTTAGATTGCTTTGCCTAGTTTTCACCAACAGTATAACATGAACACGTGTATCTTCTTTTACAACAAATGGCTCAACTGGTCTGCATTTCAAGAGAATCAGTCGCAACGTAATTAGGTGCAAATATTTTCCCGATTCCTTACGCCAGAGACAGACTACAGTCATTCCGGAGATGAAATAGTTTAAATTTAATCAAATTTTGGCTTTTAATGATTTCAAATCAAGCAAGGCAATAAAGCAACTAAGAAGCAATAAAAAAAAACAAGTGTGAAAGGATATGATAAAGAAGAAAAAAACAATATTAAGGAGGGAGAACAATAAAATAACAAAAATTAAAATGGCAGAATATAACAACTGACATTGCATTTAAATTTTTGAAGATCAAATTTGGCAGAAAAGCAAGAAGCCAAAAAAGAGTTCCACAAGGGAGAAGTGCGGGAAAAGTAACTGTTAGTAGAGAACGTAAGGTTACATCTAGTCACTTTGAGTGTAAAATGATGAGACCTTTCTGCCAATCTAGTACTGCGATGAGATTCATCAAGGTTAGGTGTCATAGAAGAATTACCATGAAAACATTCATAGAAAAGGCACAGGGAAGCTACTTTACGAGGGTGGAAACGTGACGGAAGTCGAGATATCATGCCTGGACCAAAAATAAGGCAGATTAGTCTTTGAATTTTGTCAAGAATCTCTTAATATATAGCAGGAGCACTAGATCAGATATGGCAGCAACATAAAAAAAAAACAAAAAAACATGGACGAATCGTAAATGTATATGTAAGATAGATTTTGAAAAAATGTAGAAGACATTCGCATCAGAAAATTTAATTCACTCTGATGATGGCGTAACTATTGATGCAGTAGAAGTTGATAAATATACAGGGACGTAATGAAACGAGAATCTTGCTGTGACGTCGCCCCCCCCCTGGTCGCAGCGTCGACTCTGTCGTTCGATCTCGTTCGCGGCACTAGTTGTGACGTCACGTGCTCTCTAGGCTCTGATATCCTGGTCACGGATAGCACCAGTTGTGACGTCTTTGCCGCGGCGTCAGCTGTTCGCTCCTCGCTGCTCCAAGTGTGACGTTCTAATCCTTTGGTTAGATGAATATTAGCCTCGCCGTTCCCAACTCGCTTCCAACGCCTGGTTACTAGGGTAACTGCACTGATCTCCGGTCTGCCTACCCACGTTGTGATTAGATCTTAGACAGACGGGATCAAACAGGGATTGGGGCCGTATGCAAGCTGGGGTCAACGGGGTGATAACACACAAGTATAAAAAAAAAAAAAACTCACGAGGCCAAAATTATTGAAAAAAAGGGTAACAACCTTTTTATATCTAAATGTTCGTTACACAAAATTGTTCCTACCTCCCGACCCGTTTTATGGACTGTGGCACCAAGCTTCTACTATACAACTTTAAGACTTCGAGTTGCTTGTTCTCTAGAAATTTGCATTTCGGGGTGTGGTTTGGTTTCGACACTGGGCGCTGATCTCTACCAGTCGTTCACGGCTGATTTCTCTCGCCGTCCGTGCGCGAATCAACTTCTTCTCTTCTGCTTCGGTTGGACGAGTTTATTCACTTCATTTGAGTTAGGCGAATTCCTTTACTTCGCCTTTGGGTTGGACGAATTTCTATTCTTAGGCTTGGTTTGATTTCAACTTGGTTAGGCGCAACTGCAAGTTCTTCTTCGTCCGAGGCGCAAAACCAAACTCCAACTGCTTCTTCTCTGCCTGTCCGGCCTGCAACTCTTCTGCCTGTCTTTTGCAACTCTTCTGCCTGTCCGGTCTGCAACCAGGCCTTCGACTTTCGGGCTGCAGCTCCAACTCTTCTTAGGCTTTCGGGCGCAATTTTCTTCCACTTCGACTTGGGCTGGACGAATTTCTTCACTCCGGATTCTCTTGAGGCAAAGGGGCGAATGAACGGGCCCGCCGCCCGCGTTCAAGCTCCCTCGCTGTCCGCCCTGCAACTGATTTCTGTCGATTGGGGTCCTGCTTTTATTGACGCCGTAACAAACTGGGGTTGGTCTGTCGGCGCCAGGGTTTTCTTGATAATTCCAAAAGTCGCATTATTTCTGATTTCCCATTATCGCTAACTTACTTTCCCTACTTCCTTACAGTGCCTCTGGGGGGGAGGCGCCTACCCGCTTCCCCTGGTCTCTCGTATGTCAGGTGACCGCTCTCGACCAATGGGGTCCTGGTCGGGCGTCTTTCCTCCTCCCTCGCACATCACGTGACCGCTCTCGGCCAATGAGACTCTGGTCGGTATCTTCCCTCCTTCCTTCGTGACGTCTCCAATCGGGCGTGGACAATCCGTGGCTTTGTTCTGGGGGAAGAAATACCTTGCTTAAAAAAAACAAAAATCCAAATTGTCCTTTTCGCACGAAAATGACGACCTGGTTTCTTTCACATTTGGCCTTTGTCAAAACAGCCTGCCGCTAATTAGATGCGACTTAAAGAAGAATTTTTTCGCCTTGTTGGCGTCTTCTCTGCGAGCTAAAACAATTGTTTTCACCTTTTTCTTTCGCTCGGGCCTGTTAACAAAATCTTAATTATCTAAAAAAAAAATATTCTTCACTCATCATCGTGGGTGGTTCTTATCTTCAACTCTAGAACTGGTCAGGGTTCGTGTACCAATGTTTTGTTTTCGTATACATTTCCCAGCGGTCACTTACCATCTCAATGACACCCTTTTCGTTCGTTACCTATTAATATTTTTTTTCCATTGTCCTTAAAATCTTATTTCTTCAACCAAATTGATAATAAACTCCCATATTCCGCGGACACAAAAGTAGGTCAGGTGCTTGACCGACATCTGTTATCATCAATCGCGCTCACTACCCCGTCTCGTATCAATATTTCTTTCTGTTTTTTTAAACTCTATTCCTTCAACCAAATATAACAATTTCTATTTTCCGTGGATTTCGGTCAGGTACTTTTGACCTGGATATCTTTTTTGACGCCTGTTTTGCTTATGACCGGGTTTTGTACTTTCTATTTCTCTTTTCTTTCTTTTTTTATTTTTTTTTTTCTTTTTTTTTCTTTCTTTCGGATCGCCTAAATACAATTAGAGAATTATTCTCAAAACTCAATTATTCTTCGTCTCTAAATAACTATCAACTGGTTAACAAACCGAATAAAAATAAATCATATTTTTATGAATATCTCTTTTCAGTTTTCTAATAATGCAGGGTGCCACATTGCTACTCCATGGACACACAAACGAGAATCATGCTGCTGTATGGACATATAAATGTGAATCATGCTACTCGAGGGACACACAAATGAGAAACATGCTACTCCATGGCAACGCTAAGAAAAATCATGCGACTCCAAGGACACACAAACAAGAATCATGCTACTCCATGGACATACAAGCGTGAATCATACTATCCTATGGACACACAAACGATACTCGGCGGACGCTCACGAGAATCATTCTACTCTATAGACACACATACGAGAATCGTGCACGATAGGTACACAAACAAGAACTATGCTACTCAATGGACACACAAACGAGAATCATGCTGCTGTATGGACACACAAACGAGAATCATGCTACTCCATGGATATACAAGCGTGAATCATGCTATCCTATGGACACACAAATAATACTAGGGAGCCGCTCACGGGAATCATTCTACCCTATGGACACACAAACGAGAATCGTGCACTCTATAGGCACCCAAACGAGAACCATGCTACTCGATGGACGCACAAACGAGAATCTTACTACACCATGGACACACAGACGAGAATCTTGCTACTCCATCGATGCACAAACGGGAATAATGCTAGTGCATGGACACACAAGTGTGAATCATGCTACTCGAGGGACATACACGAGAATCAGTTTACTCTAGGGATGCACAACGAGAATCATTCTCCTCTATGGACACACAAAAAATGTTCTACAAAGCATGGACACACAAGCGATAATCATGTAAAAGGGTACGCACAAATGCGTATCATGCAAATCCATGGACACACTGCTCACCTTTTGTCACTGTTTCATGCCTGAAGGTAGTCTTCCGACTGAAGATTGCGTCCAAGCACGAAAAAGATTGCCACCTCATTTGTTGACCTCAGTGTCCACTTTTAGATTTGCATTCGCCTTATCCATAAATATAACACAGCTTAAAACTATCGTATATATATATATCAATCTGCTTGTGTTGAATCATCTTCAAGAAGCGAGAGCAAGATCTAAAAAGTCAGCCAATCTAACCGTGATCTCATCTCACAATCCTTACACTTGCTCCATATGTAGACTCCTTTGTAAATCAGTAGCGGGTCTTAAATGCCACTTAATATTATCGCATTAACTTTCATAACTGAATCAATAAGCTGGGAGATCGTCATATGTCGAAACCGACGGGAGAGAGTCTATTAGATCTTAATTATTATAAAACGCAGATTGTGTGTGTGTGTTTGTGTGTGTGTGTGTGTGTGTGTGTGGTTGTGTGTGTGTACGTTTATATATTGGATCGGTTTTCCTACATTTTTCAACCGATTTCAACAAAACTTCACATGACTACGGAAAATTACCTTGCGGTGGTTCTAACGGCGCCAAAATTGGAAAAACACAATTGTTTTTGCATGAAATCAATTTGAAAACACGATAAAACACGATTCTGTCGCCAGAATGAAAGGGGGGGACAATTTATATCGAGTTATACTAATAAAACCCAGGTAGTTTGTGTGTGTGTGTATGTGTGTGTGTGTATGTTTGTTTGAGTTTGGGTTTGACCAATTCGTAAAAAACAAAAACAAAAGAAAAACAAACAAAAAAAACTAATTACGACACGTCAACCTTAAACAATAATCTATGTCAATTTTATTTTTCAGTCTTTATGATGGTCGATACTTGATCTATCTCTTACTGTTTGGAAGGGGCAATGCTGGGTTCTACTGCTAGTATATATATATATATATATATATATATATATATATATATATATATATATATATATTCCCAAGAGGTTAGAATTCAGGTAGAACTCAATGTCCAGGACAAAGTAGGTATATAATATAAAAGGCTCAAACACTAATATTCCTTGGTTATAATTTATTACATTGGATTTGTAATCCCAATCCAATTCATCAGACCTACAGATCCAAAAAGAATTCGGAAAATATAACTCTTGGTATAAAAAAAAAAAAAAATTTTAGTGAGAGTGTAATCCCCACCTTCACTTTTAGGCTTTCCTGTTCTTCGTTCTTCTGTTACACCTATAGCTTTCATACATTTCCCACTCACACTTGTTTCCAACTCCCACAAATACACTCTAATCCCTGTCGTATGCACCTTCTTCAGTGCATCTTCAAAATACATAAAATCGTCCTGAACATGACGATAAAGTACATCCAACAGCTACGCCCCTCATCGAGAATTTTGAACGAACGTGGAACCACGTCTTAATTGCTGTTGTTCAAAGGTCCACTCTGACTCGGGGTGGCAGCACATGTTAGGGTTCTAGCTATAGGCAAATTGTTAACCCGCTAAACTGGAGTCAAAACGCTACGAAAGTACATACATAGATTTTTTTAATAGTAAATCTACCTGAAATACATTTTTGAAGAAAATAAAAACAGAAATTCTTTCGCAAAAAAAAAAAAAATAAATAATCAACATACATAAAAAAATATTACCAACAATACAATTTTGATAAGAAAGAGTTAACCAGCAATGTATTTTTGGACAAAAAAATAATACCAGCAATAGATTTTGGAAAAAAAAACTCAAAAAAACATTCTGTTCAAACAAACCTATCCTAAAAATCTTGTCGGTATTAAATAATCCACTGAGATGTCGATATGCCGTACAACAAATCAAATCAAACCAAACAACTAAAGTATCGAATAATTTTCTTGATGTAAAGATGAACAACATTAAGTACTTGACTTAAAATCAAAAATAATATTATGTTAAATTATATAAATATTACCAGCAATAAAAATCTTGTCGTCATTAAATAACCCATTGAGGTGTTGATATGCCGTAAAACAAACAACTAAAGGATCGAATTAGTTTCTTGATGTAAAGATGACCATCCTTAAGAAAGGTGCCGTACTTGACTTAAAACCAAAAATAATATTATGTTCCCTGGCAGGAATCGAACCTGTATTCTACAGGGAATCAGGTTTTCGATTAAATTTCTCCGATATTTAGGGAGATAAATGTTGTTAAATCCGTTTATTATTTATTTACGTAAATATTTGTATCTATAAAAATAACGTATAAACAGAAAATATATCAATAAGAGTTGAAGTTAATCCAATCCATAATTTGTGACGTCATTTTTTTTAACGTTAAGATACGCTTGTGAGCATTCGAGAGAAATCATGGGAAATTTATTGTTTAAAACAGTAATTTGATCATGGTAACCAGGGGCTTCGTCTATAGCTAAATAGTATAGCACGTCAGTCTATATGACGGTTCCTTGTAGTATACTGTTTCGATTCCTGTCGAAGGAAGCATATTTTGTATGAAATTATTCGGACATTCAGGCCGGTAAATGTAGTTAATATTGTTTATTATATGCAGAGCCTTTACTTACATATTTGTATCTATAAAAATATCGTATAAACAGAAACTAAGTGTGTATATATATATATATATATATATATATATATATATTAAACAAAAACCGTTGATGAAGACAACTTGCCAAAATCTAAAACTGTTATCGAAGATAAAGTTACGAAACGACAATATTGAAAACGTAATGGAGAAAAGGTCTAAAGGCAAACTTACGTTCTTATTGAGATCCTTGAAGCCAGG